TAAGTCGCGCTTTCGAGACATGAAGAACGCAATTTGAATTTTGTCAATCGGCCCAATAGATCGGGAGATATAGGACTGTCCCATTTTTTTTTTTTTTGAGCAGTGTACATTAACACTTTACTGACCACTAGCAGTTCAACAGCACACACATGTCCGACCGGCCACTCAGCCGCAGATTCTCTCTTTTCTGAAAAACTGTCAGGACAATCTGATAAATCGTTTGAATAAAACTCTCCAGTACCATTTTTTTTGCTCATCGTGAACGGTAAATATTTTAAATACGGTGTGAAAATGTGGGAGTTTACAAAGCAACACACATAACGCAAGTGAGAAATGTACCTCAATACTAATAATAAAATGCAGATGATATAGCAAATGGCAATTGTTTATCGCCATAGCTACTGATTGATAGGTTATTTTTAGGTAGCCCTGAGAAAAAAACGATTAATACGCTATCGGTTGGTAGGCGTTATTGAAAGGAAGCCGATTAATAGGCTATCAGTGGGTAGGCTTTGGCAAAAAAAGCCGATTAATATGCTATTGGACAGTAAGCGTTGACGGAAAAAGCTGCTATCGGTCGGTAGGCTTTGGTGATAAAAAGCTGATTAATAGGCTATCGGAAGGCGTTGGAGATAAAAAGCCAATTAATAGCCAGTTTTCCGGTAATGGGCTAATAGTCCTTTTCAGCAGTTCTTAGTGTAATGGTTTAAAGTTTTGTAGAAAGTTTATTAAAATACATGTTGATTTCACTTCGAAATTGTTGAAACTAAAAATAATTTGTAATCAGAGTATTTGTGATAATTAGAATTTTTCGTGAGATGATTCAAAATAAGCATTAGAGTAGAGAACTCTTCCGATTTAGGCAGGAAACTCCCAATATCTAACCATTCTCCCGACAACCCGATTTACAATATATATCTCCCGGCTTTCTCTTATTCTTAAAATTTCTCATGATTTTTATGCAGCTTGGCTTAATACTTTATTATTTGCACCAAAAAATAAAATAATTTTGTACATCTTAAAGCACTTGGTTTTTCTCTAGGTTACATGTAATAAAAAAAAAAAAAAAGTAGTTTCTTCAGTGAGAAATGGCGAGCTTCTGGTTTGTAAGTGAGAGCAATGTCTGAAAACATTGTATTCCAGTTCTCCAATGACCATCGAATGCTACTGCATGTCGTCTGTCATATATTAGCCAATGAGCACAAAGCAAGATCGAGTTGTTATTTCATTCATCTTATCATTGAGTGGTGTGGGGGACGTGCTTTTGAGAAACAGTTTAACAAATTATGATCTTTAGTTTAGTTTTAGTTATGTCTTTAAAAAAGGTAAAATACTCAGGTACTTTACAAAAATCGTACACAGATGACTTTCCTTCTACTATTTCCTCCTATTGTGTAGTAATGTGTACCATTTGACGTGATTTTTCGATTTTGCATGGTGGAGAGACCGTTCTCAAACAAGTGTGCACATAAAAACACAAGGACAACACGAGCTGTATTTGGAAGGGGAATGAAAAATTCTATTTTTCGATGGAAACGAAAGACCAAATAGTTATTAATGCAGAATGTGTATTCTCTGCCTTTTTACTGGAGCACAACCTGCTATTGAATGCATTGAATCATGCTGCAACTTTGTTTAGAAAAGTTTTCTGAAAGCAAAATCACTAAGAAATACTCAAGAGCAAGGACCAAAACTGCTACAATTTTTAAAAAAATGTGTATGAAAAATAAAACTTCAGTTATTGATTGTATTGGAACAGTTTAATTCTGTCTCTACAGATGGAAGTGGTAATGCTGATTTAAAATTGTATCCAGTTGTTTCATTTTTAATCCAGTATCTTCAGAATTTGAGTATAGTTTACTTTCTGTCCTGACATTAGAAGGACATTCAACAGGCTTTTATAGCACAGCTAATTATTAAAACATTAAAACGAAATGCAATTCCTCTGGATAATTGCCTGGTATTTGGTGCCGATAATGCACCAGTAATGGTAGGCTTGAAGACTGGTGTTGCAGGCATCTTAAAAAAAGAAAATTTGGATTTGCTAATTCTGAGGTTCACCTGTCAAGTTTGTTGAACACCTTTTCGTTTAATTTATACATTGATTATCTTGATCTAGTGATTCACTGCTTGATAAAAAAAAAAAAGGCCTTTTTTTTTTTTTTTTTTTTTTTTTTTTTTTTTTGGTCCAATATAGTGGAAATCATGATTTTTCTAAAAGAATTCATGGACTCTAGTTATTAAAATGTCATACCAGCTAATTAAAATATGGTGCTATTATAAATCTTAAACAGGTTTTTACAAGATAAATTTCAAAATATGGTTTGTGTTCAGCAAACTGAGAAATTATTTAAAAGTGATTCAAAGCTTTTTTTTTTTTTCTCAGTTAACTAAAAGAAATATTCTTTGTTATGTTTAAATAATAATGCTCAGCAACAAGAATAATATACATTGAATATCAATATACAGTGGCTCCCAAAAGTGTTCATACGCTAATGATTTTCATTGAAATAGGCTCTATCCATTAATTAAAAGTAAACTTTCTGAATGAGATTTTAATAATAAGGTCTATAATATATTCGTAATAAAATTACATGAAATATTTTTTAAATATAGCAAAACTTTATTTTTTTTAAGAAATTAATAATAAAAAATGACAAACATTTTATCTCACAAAAGTCTTCGTACACTTCAAAAAAATCTTGACATATTAGTAAATATTTTTATTTTTTGTTAAATTAATATTTAGTAGGATATCCTTTAACATGCACAACAGTTTTTAAACGTCTGGGAATACATTTTACTAGTTTTTTTATAATTTCTGCATCAATGTTCATCCATTCTTACATCATGACTGTTTTGAGTTCGCTTTTCGTTTTGATGTTTTCGTACTTTAACCTCCAGTTCTTTCCAAATGTGTTCTATGTGGTTTAAATCTGGTGACTAAGATGATGTTTTCAAAACCTGTGAACAAATATAGAGATACCACAGGCGAACGTTGAGAGCCTAGGATCATTGTCATGATTAAAATTAAAGTTGTTTCCAATAGCCAAATTTTGAGCTGATAATTTTAAATTGTCTCTTAAAATATTTAAATAAAAAGAATGATTCATTATGCCATTAATAAATACCAAATTACCTAGTCCTGATGCTGCCATGCACCCCCACACAAAAACACCTCCACTGCCATGCTTAACTGTTTCAACTAAGTTCTTAGAATGAAGTTCCTCATATTTTCTTCTCCATACAGTTATTCGACCATAGGAACCAAAAATATTAAATTTGCTTTCGTCAGCAAATAGGACATTACTCTGGTACGTTTTGGGTGTATTTATCATTGATTTTGCGAATAAAAGCCTAAGCTTTCTATTTTCTCACTAACAAAATATTTTTTACGGGCTAAATGCTCATGTAAGCCAGCTTCTCTGAGAACTCGTCGAACAGTTTCATGTGAAATTGAAGTAGAAAACTTTGCATTAAATTCTGCAGAAACTTTTACAGCATTCAAATGTGGGTTTTTCACAAATTTTCTAATAATAAATCTCTCATCACGTTTAGTTAACTTTCTCGGATCGACCTTTTTCTTACCTTGTTTTCAATCCGATTTTCTTCCGAAACGATTAAAGCGTTTTATCACATACTGCACCGTAGAATGGGATAAATTAAGTAATTTACCGATATTTCAAATTGATTTCCCCCTACTATTATCACTTTTTATTTTTATTTATTTATTTATTTTTTTAAATTATCACTTTTCAAATGCTGTTTGTAATTTCTTTACAACTGCTACCCATTTTTCAATAATAAATAGAATAGTATGAAGTAAAAAAAAAAATAAAAGCGAATGATTTTTTAAATGCCACCACAATGCAAAAATTAAAAAAAGCGACAAACGATAATTCTAATTTTCATTTTATCCAAAAATATTTCAGTGTACGAAGACTTTTGTGAAATAAAATGTTTGTCATTTTTTTATTATTAATTTCTTAAAAATAAAGTTTCGCTATATTTAAAAAATATTTCATGTAATTTTGTTACAAATAAAGTATAGATCTTATTATTAAAATCTAATTCAGAAAGTTTACTTTTAATTAATGGATAGAGCCCTATTTCAATGAAAATCATAAGTGTACGAACTTTTAATTTGCACTTTCTCTCTTTTGGTCTTTATTTCTGTACAGTTGATCAGTTAAAATTTAATTCATCAGGAAAGGCTGTGTATCTGTTTAATTGGACTTTAATAAGGCTAATGATGTAACACATATTAATAATAGATTAGTATCAACTATTTGCCATATTAATCAGCACAGAATAAAACATAATTTTTCCTGAATTTTTCTTTTCTGTACCCCCCCTTTTTTGTGCACCTTGAATATATGCTGTGTAGTGTTTAGTTATTAAATGTGAAACTTATATATCTGTTAGATAAAATCTAAAATTTGAACTCTTTAAAGTTTTTAATTGCAATTTATAGGTGTTGTCAAACATGATAAAGCATAGAAAATTTTAAAAATCTCCCGCTATCTTTTTATTTTAGTAACTTAAAGTATTCTGCTTATTATTATGTTCCTTAAAATCATTTGAAACTGTTGAAGTATTCAGTTTTGTAACAATATAGATTATATAGATTATTGGTCTATTTCTATATAACTATTAATCTACCTGCAAAGTATGGGAAAAAGCACAAATTTATAAAAAATTTCAAAAGAATCATTTTTTAAAATATAATACTTAGTGCAAAATTCGTGTAATAAATCTAGCAAGGATTGTTTCTAATTAATCGCTGAATATGAATTTAATGTTAAATTGCTGAAACTCAAAATAACATGAACAGAAATCCATATCATTTTATACATTGGAGCGACATTGTCAAAATGTGAGAAAAATAAGGAGGATGGTCTATGCATCATTTTGGTCAAAGGTTGTAACATTAATTTAAAATGTGTAGTTATAAAAGTTGTCATAAGTTCAGTTATTTTTAAAATCACCTCTTATTGTAGGTGGCGTTGGAGGCATGGGTAATATGCCAAGCTTAAGTTCTCTTTTGGGAGCTAGTAGACCATCTAGTGGCCAATCTGCTTCTTCTAATTCAGAATCCTCACACAGTGCTGTTGAAACAACTCAGCCTTCCAGGACACCTCAAACTTCTGTTACAATTACTCAGCCAGCGGATACTACCACACCAGCCCCAGCTACTGCAAGTTCTTCTATTCAACTAAGTGATTTGCAGAATATTTTATCTGGTCTTAGCGGTAAGATAATAAGATGCTTTCATAAACCAGTTTTTACTTAGAATACTAACAAGGGTTTTAAAGATTTCCTAAGCTTGGATATTTCTAAAATATTTAATTTGTAAAATTTCAAAAACCCAAAAATTGTATTGTGCTTTTTTTAATTATTGAATTAATGCACAGATTTTTTTGGGGGAGGGGCTCTGCTATTCTGAAGATATTTTCAATCATTTAACCTTCAGATTTTCGCATTTTAATGATTTAAAAACTCCTGTGTTAATTGCATGTTCTGTATTAATCTCATAATTTTGTGTTTACATTCTGTACAAATAATAATGTAGTATATCTGAAATGTTATAAATCATCTTAGAATTCTTATCATTCATATTCAATGAAGAGTCATAAATTAAAAAATTTTTAAGCTGTTTCTGAAACTTGAATATATAAAAATAATTTTGACCTAGTGTTAAAAGCAATTAAATATGTTTATGACAGTGTCAAAGAACATTTCTTAATAAGCATAATCTGCTGTTGCCAGATATTTTGCTGGTGAGCACAAAAATATTTTAAACAGTTGTTGCCAAGACTCCCCCCCCCCCAAAAAAAAAGTGACAACAAAAATCATAATTGAAAATGATGGAGAAATCATTAGCTGTTTTTAATACGGGACAACTCAAATCCAAAGTAGCCTATTGAATCCAAGAACTTAAATAATTCATTATTTGGGAAATTTATCAAATGTATATTGCAACATATTAAAGTTTCATACACAACTGTAGTATTATATTAACTATTAAAAAAACTGTCTTTTTGTTTTAATTTTTTAATTTCATAATTTTTATTAGTAATTTTATTACTAATCAAATCAAAAATAACATCCCATTTTTCTAGAGGAAAAAATCCTATTTATAATAAACTCTTGTTATATTTCTAACAGAGCTTATGCATGTTTTTCTCTTATTCCCTCATATGATCAGTGCGGAAAACCTGAGATTTTTACACTCCATGCTACATTGTTGACTTTTTTTATGTTTATGTGGCAAGTTTTAAGACAAAACTGCTAAGAAAAAAATTAGTACATTAAATTGATGTGTAAAATTTGAGGGTGGGATTTTTCATTTGAAAATTATTTGACACACACACATATATATATTGTTAAGAAGTCAAAAAAAAATTTTTGTGTAATTATAAATTTTACATTTCTGGGTACTTTTCAGTTTCGCCTGTGCAAATTTTGCCAAGCACACTTTGTTGGCAACAACACATAAAAACCGTTAACAAATGTTAGTTCTAAAAATTTTTTCTTTTGAAGGCATAAACATTTTAATATCGTTTAAAATTGTGTAAAAAACAATAAATTTATAAAAAGACATTAATTTAAGAATTTACTATGCTTTCATGGTACATCATCTTAATTTGGCGTTTCATATCACGCAAGCCCAATCACACGTAAACTACGGTATAAAAATGTAATTCTTTCAGTAATTATCTACATTAATTTCAAGTTATATCTTAATATGGAATACAAGTGTAAATGCAAGAATTATTTCAATTCGCATGAATAGCTTATGTAAAACTGCAGTGCTTTACTTTGCTAGTGCATTCTCATTATAATTGAGGAATTTAACCCTTAATTTTGCCTTTCCTATTTTTTTGCCTTCGGGGGAGCGGTGTGTTGCATCCTAATTGACTTAATTACTGCAAATGATGTAGGGTATAAAATTTAACTATCTTCTGTAAAAATTCTATGTAATTGTATGCCAGTATTGAAAGAAACAATCAATCTGATAAGAAATGGCTGCGACTTGTTTTGAAAATGAAGCGAAAACGGTTACCAGCAAAGATATTCTGTTTGGCATCAGTTGTATTATTATTGGCGACTTTATCGTTTGCGCCGGCAAAACGAAAAAGTACCTATTTCTGTTGTGATGGTAATTTTCTTATTAGCAACATTTCTAAGAAAGGCTTTGCTGTAAATTGGGGGGCAAGCTAAAATTTGTCAGTTGAAAGAAAACATCATATAGTCTTGCTTTAAATAATTTCACTTTTTGACAAACAGCAGTATGAGTGAATGATCAAAAATTTGAATGTGTGCATTGAAACCTTTGAAGTAAATAACTATTAAAATAATAAATGTATCTGTTTATTGAATATTTGTTTATTATATATTTGTTTATTGAATATATATTATATGTTGTAGATTTCCTCACTTTGTAAATGCTAAGTTATTGTTGAACGTGAAGAACCTTAAGAACTGTTAAGCGAAAATTAAAAAAAAAAAAAAAAAAAAAAACTCCGTCTTGGAGTGTATAATAAAAGCCGACACTTGGGCTTGAATTTAAGAGGCTAAGAAGTAAACTAAAACTAATCCAAACTAAGAGATATAGCCGAAGCTATCAAGATTCTAACCGAGTTGGCCTCTTAACGCTAATTGACTGTGAAGCTATCAAGGGCCTGATTATGGCCAAGCGTAATAATAGCTATGAGAGAGAGTAGCCCAAAAGGCCAATGCACGCTAATCAGAAACTCTGATTCTCTCTCAAAGCTGTTATTACGCTTGGCCATAATCAGGCCCTTGATAGTTTCACAGTCAATTAGTGTTAAGAGGCCAACTTGGTTAGAATCCTGATAGCTTCAGCTATATCTTTTAGTTTAGATTAGTTAAGACTTGAACTTAAGAGGTTTACTTCTTAGCCTCTTAAGTTAAAGACCAAGTGTCGGCTTTTATTGTACACTCCAGAAATCTTATTTGAATAATAAAGGGTTATTTAGACTTTCGTCTTGCTGTTTCTTGTCACACGAACTCAAGCGATTATCCGCTTAACAGTCCTTAAGGTTCTTCATGTTCAACAATAACTTTACATTTACAAAGTGAGGAACTCTACATATGGCGCCTTTGCCGGGAATCGAATCACGGACCTCTGGAATACCGGCCTAGTGTGCTGATCCACTACACTAGGAAAGCGGGAAAAATACCTTACAATGTATTTTACTATGAAATTGTTACATTTTAAGTGTTACCTTCATTGATATATAAATACTGTATAATTAATTATATGGGGAACAAGATGAAAATAAATCCACTTTATATGTCTTTTATTATTTTTTGCATGTATATAAATAAAAAAACGCAGTAACTTCTTACCATACTTAACAAAAGAAATAAAATTAATGGTTACTAAGCACAAGAAAATTTCACTAGCAGTGATAGTTTGGGAAACATGCTTTGATAAGTTTAATTGTTCCAAATTTAAAATGTGGAAACAAAAGAAATAAAATTAATGGTTACTAAGCACAAGAAAATTTCACTAGCAGTGATAGTTTGGGAAACATATTTTGGTAAGTTTAATTGTTCCAAGCTTAAAGTGTGGAAATGTTGTGATTCAGTAGTTCAGTTTAGGCTTATTTTTATTTACTGTGATTATATGTTAAAGGTACAGATGTGCATCTTTTTTGTATAATGCTGTGCTGCCCCTCCCATTTTTCGAGATCATTTTCTCAACGTCTTCTTGAAATGGACATTTATCATATTTATGAAATATTTCTTAGATGTATTATTATTATTATTATTATTTTTACTATTAATTTTGCTTATTTCACAGTGCCAACTCAAGCAGAAAGTTCCCAGAAGCCATCTGGTAAGTTTAGAAATGATTTATAGATTTTGATTTTTCCAAATATATGTGGTTTAACTTACTGATATATTTATTACAATCGAATGTTTCTTTATAATTTCATTTCATTTAATTCAAATGAAATATTTGTTACAATTTATTGCTCAAAATATTCTTTGCCCCTCTTTAAAAGTATTCAAGTTGGGTAATTTTCACTTTCAAACTTGTGTTCATAAAATGCATAGTTCTGAAAATGAAGTGCATGTATTTTGTAAAGATGCGACTAGAACTTAAAATTTAAATAGATTGTTTTCAAGAAAATAAGTTCTAAATTATAGTTATTAAATATTTGGTATTTTAAAAATGTTGGTGCATTTTTGTTGTTGGAGCATGTCATATAGCTAGTGGGAAAGAAGTTATATGTGATATTTGCAAAACCTTTTTTTGCTTCATTGTTTATTTCAAGAATGAAAGAGAATTACACATTAATTTAATTATGATTAGATAAGGTTTTTTGTTGTTTTCTCTAACTTTGAAAAATTTACAGAACTGATATTCTTTATGTAGTAAATTGCAAATTTAGTTAAAGGGTGAAAACATTTTTATTGGCCCCTCTCAACCATAATTGCAGTTTGAAGAAAATTTAATGATTATATTTATTTTTATGAACAATAATATTAATTTTATATGTAATGTCATTCTAAAGTAGTGCCCAAACAATTTAATATATTTTTAATATGCAGTTAAATTGTCCACATTTAAGGATTTTTGTGGTGTTCTATCTAATCAATAAAATGTACACACACCGAAGAGCCCTTACGTTATGACCATCTCTCACGTAGAGCATTGAGCTTGTTCAGAGACAAAACCATAGCATACACATTGCTAATGATAAAGTATATAAAATGCCCATGTGCTGTTTTTCCATTTGTGTAAAGTTTCTTAATGACTTAAGCAATGTCTGAGAAGAGAAACAGAAGTTCAAAAATTCAGTTCCAAGAATATTATGTAATTGTTTGTATAAGAAAGGAAAGGGCTAATCTTTGGAATATGATAACAAGTAGTTTGGCGACATTTTGGTAAGGCGATAAAGGTTACTAGCTAGGACTTTAGCAGTTTACATGGATAAAGTCAAGAGTGTGCGCAATGCCATTTTTGTGCAATTCTGGGATTTTTTTTAAAGTGAAAATAGGTCGACGTGTACATGGATACCGTGTATGTGCAATTCTTAAAACGTGACAAGCAGTGGGTGATTCTGCACTTTCTCCCAATTTTGCACCTAATCTTCGTCATGATTAAGCACTTTTGTTCCATAAAAGTTCTAGCATAAGCGTAATTCGGCTTGCAGATTGTTGAAAAAAAAATGTTGAGTTAAAAGAAAAAAAAAAAGCCTTTACTTCTTGGGGGGGGGGAAATGTTGAGTTAAAAAAAAACTAGCAGGTTGCTGTAGCAGGGTTGGTCGCCAAAAAATCGCCAATTTACTGTAATCCGAAGATTAACCAAGGAAAGAGATGAAACCTGACTATAATAGCTTAATTCAATTTCATTATGCAGGTACTGTATTGTTTAACATACTACAAATGCATGTCAAGTCTAATGCTACATTGATTCACATTATGCTATATTTTTGCCAAGCCATGCTGTCAGGGTGATGCATTAATGTTTTTGTAAATTTTCAAACCAATAGTCACAAGGTTCAGCTGATTTGAATGAAGAACCATACATGACAAGCAAAAAATACGATTGCTCTGTCTTCTGTAAATGTTCTTAAAAAAAATTTTTTTTAAAACCTTCTGTAAGGTTTGATTGAAAAATGGAAGCACTTAGTGCATAGTGATTTAATATGCACACAGGCACTATTGTAGATGTCGCAACACATAATTACATCATGTCGTATAACATTTCTAGGAAGCACAAGAAAAGATCGCTAAGACTGATTCTTTAATAAGCAAAGGCCTGTGAAGTTATAAAAGATTTCTGCATTTATGTCCATTCAAGGATAACCCGAAATGTATTTTATGTGCAGTGTAATGCTGTAAAGCATGCCCTTCTACTAAACAGCAGTAACAACTTCATTCACTTCGTATATGAACCATTGATTTGTGATCCTAATTAAGGAGAGTTAGTGAATGTTATTTGTCTGCATTTTCAAGGATGTGGCATTTCTGTTTTTTACGTAGTGCAATTTCAAATAGTAATAAATATTAAATTAAACAGTCTTGAATGAAGGAGAAAATATTGGCCCATATTTTAACCCTTCCGTCATCTGGCAAATGTATGATACTGATTTTTGTGTATTTTGCTAATTAGAACTGTTCCAGGTAGTGAGTGTTGCTGCAAGCAGCAGAGTTTCATTATGTATTGGTTGCTACAACATAAAATTATATGTTGTAATTATTATTGCATAAGGCATTAAGCATTATTTCTGTTATTATAACCAACTTATATGTAAACATCTGAATTCTGTTCTTTTTAATGTGTGTAAAATTCTATTTTGTTCAATAATTTTCTTAATAATTGTATTAATCTGCTTCCCCCCCCCCCAAAGAAGGAAATCTTTTTTTATTTATTTTTTTAAGTGCACCCAACTTTTTTTTTTTTTTTTTTTTTTTTTACGCAACAGATACGTTCCTTAGAAAATCATGTGAAAAAATACATGCAACAACTGGTTAATTTGGAGATATATTCCACAACTGTAAAAAACCATGCAAGATGAAAACACGCTAAATAGTTTCCAAAAAAAGTGTGAAAAAGTTATAATGAAATCCATATTACATATTTATACAACAAAAACAATTCATTTTTGTGACCAAAAAAAATTAAATTATTGTAAAAAATGTTGGTGAAAATTCAGTCCATAAGTACATATAAAAATGTAAATTGAAATAAGGAATAAAAATCAATTCCGCAACTATTCATTGCTACTTGACAACAAGCGTGCATGTTTATTACAAACTGGATCAAAAATGCTATCATCTATAGATAGATCAGAAATGTCTTGCACAGCTGTTGGGTTTTATTCAAATGAAGAGCTTCGTTCATTATTAACGACTTCTGTTGGTTTTGTTGTTACAAAGTGTGTTATTAGCGACTTTTTTGTTTTTGTTTGTTTGTTTCTTAGTTGCTTATATATTTCTTGATATCCAGCTACACAAAACTTAAGATGACATTGGAATTTTAATGCACACTCTGTGTCACAAGTGAGAATGACAGTCCTGGCATAAGTAAGAAAATGTTGTTTTATACTTGTAGCAAATTTCAAGCCCTCGCGAATGAAATCAGCCGTTAATAGTTGAACTTGACTTCATCATTATTGACTTTTATATTATTATAAACTTTCATAAATTTGATCAAATCGTCCCCATCCAAAGGCCTTTCTTGCATCAATTCTTCAATGTCAGCTGTTTGCATGTTGTTAACACATTAGAGGCGGGGGATCTTGAAAGTATGATAGGAAACGTGGCGACCGCTTCCCATCGTTTTTCATCCTAGAGCGGTAATAAAAAATTTAGACTTAAAAAAGTTTATTTAAATTCTTAAAACTACAAGAAATATTAAAAAAGAACTAAACACAAATTACAAAAAATGTTTTAAAGTACATATAGATAAAAATAAAGTTTTAAAGAAGAATCTATGATTGTGATAATGTTGATAGCATTCGCCACGGTGAAGAGGTGCATTGCAAAACTCGCATTTGAAGCAAGTCAACTTTCTTTTTTTATGTGCCACACAAACTACGCAGTTTCGTTGGGCATATAACTTTTTGCCTTTATTTTCTATCCGAATTAATTTGTGCTTTTTGATGTCTAGCGAAAGACGTCCAGGCGGATCAATTTTATATCGTGGAGTCTGTGGTGCCGAGTTCGATGTACCAGGTTGTGGCTCTTCAATGTCCATCAAATTGTCTGCATATACGAGGGCTATCCAGAAAGTAGATTACGTTTTGGAATAAAAAAATAAACAAAGTATAGGAAACAAATTTTATTATATACAGATGAAAGCCACACTCAAATACTACTTTTCTACATAGTCACCATACAAATTAAGGCATTTATCGTAGCGATGTACGAGCTTGGAAATTCCTTCGTCGAAAAATTCGGCCGCCTGCGCCTTCAACCACTTCGTTACCTCTTCTTGCCTTCCATCCTGCACAAAACTTGTGGTAACCAAGCTTTTAGCTGATGATTTCGTGCAACAAACTTCGCGAAATTTGTGGAAAACTCAAAGAAAGTTCCGTTATTGTGAAATTTCGATTTTCACGGACTTTAGCATCGACTTTTTCGAGAAGTTCGGCGGTCACTATGCTGGGTCTCCCACTTCGATCTTCGTCGTGAACATTGGTTCGGCCATTTTGAAATCTTATGACCCACTGACGCACTCCACCTTCAGTGATAATGTTGTCCCCATACACTTCACGAAGCTGCCGATAGATTTCTATCGGTTTACAGTTTTTTGCAGTCAGAAACCTTATTACTGAGCGCACCTCGCAGCTCGCGGGATTTTCAATTAACGCAGACATTTCAAACCGTCACAGTATCTGAACGGAGCACAGCACGAACCTCTCACTAGCACGGCTAGATGCAGACTGAGCTGCGCAACGCTCTGACCCCAAGATGGCCGCGCTAGCCCCGCCCCTAGCGGACACAGACGGAAACGTAATCTACTTCCTGGATGGCCCTCGTATATCTTTATTTTCACGTGAAACCATATTGAAGAATTTCAGAACTTACTGTAAGTAAAATTTGAACAATCGAACAGCTTCAAACCACAAAATATACTAAAATGTGCTACTACAATCGGATAAATCATGACGCATGGACTTGCGCCTTTAAGCTACAGTCAAGATAAATCGTAGTACTAGCAATCCATGCGCTAGCTACAGTCGAGATAAATGGTAGTACTACGACTCCCGCCTTTAAGCTACAGTCGAGATAAATTGTAGTACTACGACTCCTGCCTTTTAATGTGTTAAAACCTTTGCCACCAGTTGCATTTGAGAGTTATAATTTCAGAATACATGGGGGATTTTTGTGCTACGAAACTTCTACTGATGACACATGCTGGTAATCCCCCCCCCAATAAACATTTAAGATCGATTGCTGTAACAGGGTTCGTACGGTCCTTAAGAGTCCTTAAAAGTCCTTAAGTTTTTTGGATTTGATTTTTGGTCCTTAAAAGTCCTTAATTTTGGCCAAAACCGGCAGAAGGTCCTTAATTTTAATCCTGTGAAATTTCTGTCTGTTTTTACGACTGTCATTTTGAGTGTGAATTAGCAGTTCAGAGGTATATTTTTGACGATTCACTAATATATATGGTTATTTGAATGGGTTATGATTTTCTATTTCTAATATAAATGGTGGGATACTCGAGTTTCTGAGCAAGAAGTATTTCGAGAAGTATTGAAACAAGTATTTCGAAATTATTTCACTTTTTCTACTGAAGAGCTCTTAAACAACTTTTCGCTTTTGGGGATGTGAATTCTTTTTTTGAACGGCTCTAAATTTGGCGACTTATCAACATTTTGGTGATTTTTAAGATCAGTTTCTATAGAAAATTTTAGTTTCCATGATTTGGGAATTTTTTGACGATTTTTTTTATACATTCTAACATTGATAAATATCATTAAAATAATGGTAATATATTGAAATTATATTTAAAAAATAACATATTAATTAAAAAATATCTTCTTTTTAATTTTTTCATGATAAGAGTTTTCTCAGAGTGTTCAGAATTCTCAGAATATGCATAAGTTTTCTCTATAAAATTAATTTCACGCTTTTTCCATCTGATTTTTTTAAAAAGTATTTCTGGCTGTTTGCTGTTACAAAATCGGTAGGCATAATTTTTCTTCCGGACATTAGACATTGCAACTTGGAAAGTTTAGAAGGATTTGAAAGCAAGATTTATAGACCCACCATTCCAGAAGATTTTAGAAAATTGTGACAAAATGAAAAATGTCTCTATGGTTTTAACACATAATGGATGTATTTTGCAGAAAGTTTGCAATGAATTTCTTATTTTTTGGAGAACATCTGGAAGAACAATGAAAACATAATATTTGAATGCTTTACTTCTGATACTAGAATCTTTTTCTTAACATGCTTTTCTTCCCTTTATTTTCTCTACTTTTCACTAGACACACAAGTATGAAAAATATTAAAAATGCTTCTAATCTTATGACATGGACAGGCATTATAAAAAGGAATTTTTTATTAATAAAGAAATTGAAAACTGGCAGTTTAAAAGATTCATCTAATATGACTTAATGCATCATACACAGGTATGACGCTAGGCATTTTCCCACCTGGTGCAATCACGTGGAATATTAAACTTATCTCTGTAGATCCTAAATTTTGCTGACTAGTGCCTTTCTAAATTCTGCTTCCAATGCCTGCTCTAAATTCTAAAAGTTTTTGCCATTTCTACATTTTGTTGCTCGGTGTGTCACTAAATTCTAAAAATTCTGCCACATTAGCTCTGTAACCGGCCCTTTCCACATATAGTATTTCCTATTTCTCCTGAATGTTCATATTACTAAAGAAATAAAATTAGCAGCTTTTTCTATGCATTCTAAATGCATTTAATTTTTTTTTAATAACAGAAATCTTTAATTAAATCCAAAAATTCTAAAATGAAAAGGAAGCGTGTTGAAGAAAGAAACTGAGAACATACAGAGAAAGAAAATTATTCTTCAAATATATATACAGGTATTATTATGTAAATTACCCAGTTGTTTATAATTTCAGCCTTTACTATAATTTCCCATTTCTCTTTCCTCCCCAGAATGTAAATCGCTTAGGAAGTTTTTAAACTGAGGTTTTTGGCGTGTAAGACAGAATGTGTTTTTGATCTCCACTTGCTCGTTGCATTAGTTCCTGCCAGCTCTGATAATTTGCAACTTTTTGTCTTTGCATTATCGCTGCTGACATTTGAATTTGTTATGACGATAGAGTTACTGAGCCAGCTTAAATTAAAATTAAATTGTATAGTCTTTGACCACTAGTTCACATTTTTTTGTTTGAATTTGATTGTTCTTGTTTAATTACATCACCATAAATTGCATTTGAATTGGTTAGCATAAGAGCATGCCTTTAAGTTCTTTTTAAATAAGAGGCTTATTTAAACATTTGTCTGACTTTGTAGTTACTTTGAGACATAGCGATAACTTGCTTCACGTCTGTCGGGAGTTTTTGGACTATTTAACTTTTACCAGATCAATTAAACCCTCATAGGTACATTGTGGAGAGGTTGACAACTTAGGAGATAAAGTACGCAGAAACTAGTCAGAACATTGGTTTGTGTATTCAAACAGATTTTTAATTGTTAGGAAAGATGTTTAAAGAGAAGAAAATTGATATAAATTAAGCCAAAATGTCTGGGAAGGCTTCAAATTAAAAAGATTCATAAATATTTTGTTGAGTGTTGTTGCTACAAACATAAATGTTTTGTAGCTACAAAGAGCATTAAAAGCTACAAAGCTACAAAACATAAATGTTTTAATATGTAATTATCCTAATATCATTTAAGAATCAATGACATAAATTGCATGTATTTTAAAGTGTGAAATTTTATTAGATTGTGATTTTAATAGGGACTTTTAACAATATTGTTAAAAAATAAGTAAAATTTAATAGTAATCATGTAAATCCATACTGACTAAGGTTTTCTAACTACCTAATTTAATTTATAACTAACTGCTTACTCTTAAAAATTATCTCTGCATAATGAAGTGAGTTATTGCCTTTCATTATTCCTTAGCGTGGCACAAGGTTTAAACACAAAAATGTAAAAATTCATGTAAAACTTATTCTTAGTATCTAGTGAGACCTAAAATAATACAAAGCAACTTAGTGTCACCTCTGGTGCTTTAGTGGCTTATTGGAACCTTAAAGTATATTAACTTGGTTACAACCCCTGGAACTCTACACGGAGCTACGACACTAACCGCAACAGACAGAGCCCAACTAACTTTCAAAACTAGCTAACCGTGCCCACATCAGGCCTCTCAGTTTTGTTCTGATCAGCAGGTCTCTCTCTAGGTAAGGAGCAGCGGTGACAACAGCCAGTCTTTTGTTATAAATTATTCTGATTATGATTTTACTTCTCATTTTAAACTATGACGCTTGACATAAAATCTACCTGCTATTTACTAAACCTCTAGATTGAGCAAGTAATGAGACATAAAAAAAATCAACATGAAACTAACTATTAGTAAAATGTAAATAAAATGTTACTTATCTTCTTTCAAATATACTGAACTATTGTAAGTCTAAAATATTTAATGCTGTTTGATAAATTTCATAAAGTATATTTTATGCTCAAACTAATTAATAATTATGTTAATTAAGTTATGTTTAATAATAATGCATCCTACTTATGGATCTATATTGTTTTTTGCGTGGTATTACAAAAGTGAAGTTCAGGCACAGATAATATTTTAAGTGAATTTATTAATTTGCTATTTGCTCATAGGTCCTTAATTTTTTCAGTAATGGTCCTTAAAAGTACTTAATTTCCATGTGCAGAAATGTGTACGAACCCTGTGTAACTGTTTGGTGGCAAAAGAAGCATGTGTAATACAAACCATAATCATAAGCTTTCTCCATGTTTCCACAACAGTCAAATTTCTTTCTTTCACTGAATCTGAAATACATTTAAATGTTTGCTTTATGTATTATATTTCAAATGTTGCTATAATACCCTGATTGAGTAGCTGAATCAACAAGGTGGTATTAAGCAACAAAAACAGCATTTAAATATTTGAATGATCCAGCATTGGGTGATTGGGTGCATTATCAAAGAGCAAAAGTATTTTGAATTCCAAACCTTTTTTTTACATATGTTTATGGACCTCAGGAACAAAGCAGTTGTTGAACCATTATGTAAACAGATCAGCCATCATCTGTGCCTTTTTATTTGCTACCAAATGAACCATTCTCAAATGAAATTCTCATTTTTCCTAATTGTTCTTTTAATCACTTCATTAAAAGCAAAAGGTTTGCTAACAGATGGGGGACCTTCACCACTCTTTAGACAGTCTAAGATTTTTATTTTAGATTCTAACAAAATTGCTTGTCTCTTCACAATACTTTGTTGTTTAGTCATTTTTTTAATAAGAGTAATCTTTTATAAAATGAAAATTTAACACAATATTAACTTTTTAGTAATAAAAAATCACGACCAATACAAATTATACTGGAAATTTCACCATCGAATCCCCCCTCAAAACTAATTTGACCATCAACTTTTAGAACTTTATTGGAATTATTTATTGTATCCTACAAACTGAACACTTTAACACTAAGTTAAAAATTCTGTGTTCAAGTTGAAGTACAGTGAGATTAAAAAAAAAAAAAAAAAAAAAAAAAAAAAAAAAAAAAAAAAAGATAATAAAATTCAGGTATTCCCCTTAACCACTGGAATACAAAGTAAACAAGTCAAAGAACTTTGAAATAGGCCAAGTCATTAAACACATGTGTGGGCATAAACCAATCGAATTCTGATCACACTGTCAAAATTAGAATTTTAAAAAATTGGAAGGGATTTGTGCTAGAACAAAAAATTCATGTAAAAAAGTTTATTTGTTCTTATTGGTGAACCATGTTATTTCAAAATTGTGTAAATAAAGAGTTGGGTGTATCTACATTTTGTTTATATTCAGTTTTATTATTATTTTAAAGTATGTAATTCACTAGTAAACTTAACAGTTGCTGAAAAAATGGAAAAATTGAGTTATTTTGATTATGAGTGATAAATATCTTTATCTCTTAAAAAAATCTATTCACAGTTGATTTGTCTTCAGCTATTACTGCAGAAGCTTTACAGCCACTTTTCAATAATCAAGAGCTGATGGAGAGAGTTCGAAATCTACTTCCTCCATCAACTGAGATTGCTTCACCAGGACCTAGTGACCAGCTGCGTTCTACTGTGCAGTCACCTCAATTTCAACAGGTATTTCAGTATATGAATTAATTATCTAACAAATTTTATATTTTTAAACTATTACCTTTTTTCTTTCTGTTTATATATCTAATTTAATTCACTATATCAGGTATTTCAGCGCATATAACATAAATATTCCAAAGGAAGAACTATGCAGGTATGTATGAAAGAATTGAATACTTGGGAGGGGGGTACACAATCATAGTTCTTCAAACGAGGAAGCAGAAAGTATCATGTTGAATATATTAAATGTTTGCGTATTTTGTAAGTTAAGAAGGGAGAAGATCTTTCACCCACAAAATAGCAAATTACTACTTCAGAATCATTGACTGTGGAATCCAGATTGTATTATGCTGTTTACTTAACTGCAGCATGTAAATTAGAAATAAGAATTAAGCATTAAGAAATAAGAATTAAATTTATGTTTAAAAAATGTAATGTAAGCCTTTTAAATTTATACAAAAAGTCAGCAAGTTTATTGCAGCAATTTATGAATGTTCTATGTTGGCATCCTTAGTCACAGGAGGCCTGCCAACGGTAAAGTCGCTGAATGCCGGTAGTTCGGTCCAAGATTCGAATCCTGCAAATAGGCTGGCTGCATGGGCATTTTTGGAATTTTCCCCATGTGTAACATATATATGAGCCAGTTTTTCTTAGAAACTCCTCCACGAAGACATAGGCAGATAGCCTTTGAGGCTTTGTCATAAGTACATAAACCAAAAAACCGAACCTTGGTTGCAGGACATACATCTATGTAATAATTTTTTAAATTCCTATTCATTTCTTAATTAGGGATTTAAATCAAGAACTTTTGAATGGCCACACTGTAAGTGGCATATTATACTCTATTGTCTATCTGTTTCAACATCTGTGGAAAACTTTTTTGGAGATAATCTTCACATAGGCTTGCTAGTGTGGTGACATACTATCCAGCTAAAGATTGAAGTTGTTGCTGTTCTTCTCCAGTTTGGATATCAGGCAAAGATTTGGCATATTATGAATAGAAGCTTCAGTGATATTTATCTTAGGGGGAAAAAAAAAGAAAAAAAAAATCTTACTTTTTGTATTAGACAAGGCACAAAATACATTTACTTTATGAAAATCTCATATGTTCTGTTACTTTGGAATTTTTAGTTCTTAAAAATCCAACATGTTTTTTTTTTTTTTTTAATTTTCACACGCAAGTGAAATGGCTTATTAGTAGCTATGAGGCAGTCAACATAGTATTTTTTTCATTAGGACACAAATCAAATCATTTAATTTTGTCAAGTTCAGTTAGATGCTTCAACAAATGAAGTTTGTATGGGTAGTTTTTAGAGGATTTTGCATTTCCTCCCCACTTCCCTCAAAAACTGAAGGCTGTTGAATTTTTTTCTTTGAATTTTGAGTTCTTTTGAATTTCTTTGAACTTTGCTGGAAGATACTATAAATATATTCACCTTATTATTTGCAAGTAACGTGAAGTTACACCAATACCTTTGCCTTTTCATTAATGGCCCTCACTTTTGAATTGATTATATCAGTCAAAAAAAGATTGCCTGAAGTTTAATTGAAATTCACATTGAACCATAGTAATGGATTTTATTTTGCTGAATTCTGAAAACAAAATGTGTTTTCCTAAGCAGCATGTATTGTCTGTTGAGCAATGTGCCCTGTATTATTTCTTTACATCACCAAACAAAATGCTGGTGAGAAACTTTACACCTGCTTGTGCATTTCCCTTCCAGCTTTCAGCATAGTTGTTTTTCGTTATGTCTTTTTTGTATTAACATAATTTAAATCTTTTGTAGTAATCTTGTATTAATTTTGAATATTTTATTGATAAGAAGGGTAAACTGGATTGCCAAAGACATCACAAGCTAGAAACCACTCTTTTAATATTCTCTTTGTACATTGATTTTATCAACCTAACCATACAAGAAGATTTTAAAATATTTAATATATATTTAATGTTGCAGTTTAAGATAATATACATTAGAGACTCATCATAATATTCACTCATTATCACTTATTTCATTATAGTGGCCAGCTCATGAAGTCCCCAACATATTAGAGTAAATCCATTTCATTTATAGCTACTACTTACTTGCATTTATCTTTAGGGCATATTCAGTCACTATTAAAAATACCAATTATATTTCTTAATCTTGTTTTAAATTTTTTCTGTGTATGGTATTTCTTAGGTGTGATATTTATATAATTAAATGGCAGTTTTTTGCATGTGTGAATTTTAAAAAAAGTTATGAGACTGCATTAACCTGCTATGAAAGTAGTTCTGTTTGCTACATGGTATCTGAAGAATTAGATTTTATTTCTGACAAAATGTTGTGGTCAGATTTATTGCCATAACATTATTACTATTATGGCAATAATAGTAATAATGTTATGAGAATAAATCTGATTATTTATTATTACTATTATTATTTAACTTCTTTTCTTTTTGAATCATTTTATAATGATGAACTCAAGTTGTCTTGAAAAACATATTATTCTTTTTCATTTCTGTATTTGGTTTTTTAGCTCTTCAAAAGGATGTATTCACAATCTATGAAACAATAATTGTTTTCTTTGAATTTCTTTTTTATGGTGAATTTTAGATATTTTGATCATGGTATATGTTATAGTTTACTTATTAAAATGCAAAGAATTTAGAGGATCTTCTTCAGAAATAAAATACAAAGTTCGCATTTCAAAGAACATGGCAACCTGGGCAAAAAAAAAAATTTGTTGTTTAAATGTTACAGTTTTTAATTCTAAATTTCCCATTTAAATTTTTATTTTTCTGAGATTTATAGCAATGATCCTTGTATTTATATAGGCCCTAGGAATGTTTAGTGCTGCTCTGCAGTCAGGTCAGCTTGGTCCTTTGATGCAACAGTTTGGAATGTCAGAAGATGTTGTTACTGCTGCCAATTCTGGTGGTAAGTTTTATACCATGAGAAAAAATTGTGTTCCTGTTGTTAAATCTTATTCATGTCAAGTTACTTTTAAATTATGAAGTTTTATTTAATTATTGAATATCTTAATATATGTTTTTAAATATATATATATATATATATTATACATCCTGTTGGCTCAAACAACGCAATCTGTAAAGACAGCTGTACAGTTTTTATAAAAAAAAAATGGTGGGCACTTGCCTATAACGGCATTGGCCACTACTAAGGCCAGAAGTGATGACTATTGGATTGATGTGGATGCACCTAATAGGCAGCCACCATTACCTCCTATGAAGGGACAGATAATTGTACATCCATGTCTTCTCCGGGATTCGAACCCTGGCCCTTTGGTATTGCAGTCAGGCTTTCCCTAACCACTATACCTTCTGGGCGGCCTTGTACAGTTTTTATAAAATGTTTTGTGAGGAAAAGAAGGCATGTGCATGTCAGATGGCTTTACATGTATTAATTTGATGTACTAAAGTGCTTCTGCTTGAATAATGTTTAAATGATCTAAATACCACGCTTTGAAATATAAATTTTCAAATCGCTGAGTTTGTTAAATTTGTACAAAATATGAAATCAGTCTTTAAAAAAATTAAATATTCCACTTTCAAGATGTCCACATTTGAATGAAAGACTGCGTGTATTAAAAATTCAGTGGGTCTAGGTGCCATCATTTTTCCATAATGGGAGGAATATAATATATATGCAGATTCTTCGTTATTTAATGTTTTTTAAATAATACATTGCAGTAACATTTGGTGGCAGCAAATTGAAAAGCAATTCAGGCACGAAAATGATATGGACAAGAAACGTGTTTCGAGACTAATGGCACTTATATGCTGATTATGAAGTAAATTATCTCGACAGTGTGATTTTTGAAAGCATTGTTCATTGTAAGGACATTGTACAGGTTATATCTAAAAATCTGAAAGACTGAAGTAAGTGTTAAGAAAAATAGATAAAGGAAATAAAAATTTGATATTCTTCAAAGTAATCACCTCCAGCATATACACACTTTATTGTGTGACTGTGAAGGTTCTTAAAAAAGATTTCATAGTCATTTGAAGATACGGTTTGAAATTCTGCTTTCCCACTTTGTTGAATGTTCTCTACATTAGAAAATTAATGCACTTTCATAGCATATTTCAGTTTCAGGACAAAAAATTGTCTGATGATGCCAAATGAACACAATAGAGAGGGTTGTTCACTTCTACGATTTGCTAATTGGTCAAAAACTGCTTCACATTAACAGTAGTGTGTGATCTTGTAAGAGAAACCAGGAACCCTTCTTCCAAAATTGGGTTGTAACAAGATGTACTCTTTTTACCAATTTGTCCAAAATGCTGTATAGTATTCTTTTCATAGTATGACATGGAGAAACAAACTTGTGGTATATTAATCCATGACAGTCAAAGAAAGCATTTAGCATTACTTTGACTCCAGACTCTCTGTAAACTGGAATTTGTGCTGTCTTGAATAGCTTGGTAGTCACCATTCTGTGTTGCTTTTTTTTTTTTTTTTCATTCATTTTGAATCATATTGATAACACTAGCTTTCATTGCTAGTTGCAGTTGAAAGCGAAGAAAGAAGAATCACTATCTGCACCCTCGATTAAATACTTGCAAGCTTCAATTCTGCATTGCCTTTGCTCAGTCATCAGAATTAGTGGCACACAAATCTTGTTTCAGAATTGCATAAACTTTACACATATTCATGTTTAGCTCATTTGCAGGTATCGTTTCATTCAGTGAGCCATAGCTGCTAAAACTTGAATGTTTTCAGTTATTTCCAGCATTCATATACAAAGAGTGGTCGACATGTAGGTCATCTACTCTTTTTCTTCTGTTATAAAACTAATAATACCACATCCCTCAAAAGTGCAAGAAAGAACATTGCAGTATTTCTCTGTAGGCATTTTTAAACATTTTAAGATTTTCACTCACATTGTTTCTGAGTTTAAAACCTGTTTACATCTTTTTGCTCTATAGATTGATTCCTAACGTGCACTCAGTCCTGGAATTTTCTAGATATAATGAATATATAGGTCAATGTATGTGCATGTATACAATAGAGCCCCTGCATCCATATGTAATGTGTTCCAAGATAATCCTGAACATTACATTAAATTGAATAGTGATGCAGCATACATATATACTTAGTTAAATTTAATGGATAAATTGTGCCAGTAAGATACTGCAGATATTAAATGAAATAGTAACAAATTTTCTGTACGTTAAAATTACTGCCAAATACGGCAATACGATATATTGAATACATAAGTATCTTCTCTCTTGTGCCTATAAAAGTAAGAGATTCTAACACCTTAATATTCAAAAGGTGAATGGTAAATGAAAAAATATAGTATTGTACAACATAACATACTGTTTCAAAGGATATAGACTAGTTTTAATATAAGTAAAACCAAGCAAAATTTAGGACGTATCTATTTCGTTAGTGGTTTCTAAGCACTTGTAATACCATTACTCATACATTTTTTAGCTTAAAGGCCTCATTCAATTGAAACAGCGATCGTTGTATCCAGCATTAGCGATCACTTTTGAAAACGAGTGATTTTTCGTATTCATTTGAAGCACTTCCCTATCAGTCGAACTTGTAGGGGTTGCCAGAGGTTACTCGATGCGCGATGCTGTTTGTCACGTGGTCGGAAGTTGTGTTTGTTTTGAAATAACCAATGAAGGGCTACCAGATGGCAGGTTGACTCCTCGTAACCGTTCTTTAGGGTTGCAGTTCACGTTTGTGTGCCATCTTTGGCTTTTCAGCGCTATTGTTCCAAATTTTATCTGAGAATTCTTCAAAGGTATTATTTTATTTTAATTCCTTTATGAAAACAGCTAACCTGAAAGACACATTCCATTCACATCAATATACATGTGAAAAATATAGCTCAAGTAAGTTTTACGTGCATACTGAAAAAAAAGTGATTTAAAAGACCTTTAAAGCAAAAGAAAGAAAATGTACTAGTTCTATTAACAACTCAAAAATACGCTGTAATATATTCTAAAAGGAAAAATATATAATACACAATGATGTAGATTACATATATGTAATAAATACATAAAACCTATAATGACTCTAATGTTCATAACTATATAATAAACACCAACAATATCACATCATGGTACATAACATGCTGAAAGGAAATTTTAATTAGAAACATCCTTTTATATTTATTTGATAACATAGACGAATAAAACATAAGATGACAAGAAGTATGAAACACGTTATGCAACTTAAAAAACAGTAGAAGCCTTTTAAGTATTGCAATATTATAGGCACTGTTAGGAAGAATATCATTTTTTCATTTTTACAAAATTATCTAATATATTTCGTTAATGTTATGATTGCGTTTGTTCCTTAAACTTCGAATGGATCCCGCTCATTATTTTTGCAGACTGTAAGAGCAATTTTATAAAAGTAAACTTGAAACTTTCGATTATGTCAAATAGAATTTCCGATGCTGGAACTCCAAAGGATCTACGAAACAAAGTATGTTTCGATGCCAACAAACAAAAAGTGGGATTGCTGCAAAAAATGGATAAAGACATGAAGATGTGACAGAGAGGTTAGTGAAAATGAAAAAATTTCGATTGACAAGTAGTCAGTATTCTCGGCACAGCAATTAACGGGACTTGAACAGCAGGACTTTGTAACTGAACAAGATATTATGTCTGTTTATAGAATTAAAGAGAAAGTTTATCACATAAAACGAAGCAACTTAAACAACTTACATGAAAGAAATGTTTAATAAAGTAAACAATAAATATTAAGCTCTTTTTTTTTTTTTTTTTTTTTTTTTGTAAATTTTGATACCCTTTAGATCATAATTATACTTATTTCATAAATTACGGTTTATATTTTTAATTTTAGAATTCTGCATGCCCATCTTACGAGATTTAAACTGATGATCTATAATCCGGAAAAATCGATAATCCGGAATTGCCAAAGTCCGACGAGTCCGGATTAATGACTTTTGACTGTACGATATATTTATGTTACTTTAAGGGAAACATTATATAATGCATAATTTCAATCATATTATCCAATGTTTACATTTTTTTTTACATTGGAGGCCAACTGACAGATTTGGCAACGATATAATAAGGTCAAAAAATAACATACGATTTTGAAGCAAAAGTGGAAATAAATGTAGAGAGTATGGATGCTGAGATAAAGAATAAGTCCAATTACTAATTTCTGACCCTTGATTGTTGAAGTTCCTATTTCCATCCACTTTTTAGGGGAGTTTTCGTAACTTGGAAAACTCAAGAATCCACATAAGTTCTTGAATAATCATTTCAAAACATACATGCAGGTACATGGGAAGATAGTTTTGGACATATTTCAATTACTGTATTTCAGCCACATATGAATTATAGTCACTTATTTTGAATCCTAAAATTAGAAACCGTATTAAGTATATTTATTATGTGTTTTGAACAACTCTATAGATAGCATTTATTTATAAATATCTGCATTTACCATAATTCTGTAAACTTAAATTGTTTTGCATATCTTATCCCATGTAATATTCTTAACAGAAAGCATTCATTTGTTTCCAGTATTTTTATACCTTAGTGCAGAACAATTTTTAATTGATATAATTCATGAATGAAAATCATTTATTAGGCAAACATTTCATAGTTGTATGTAGTATGATGAAGATTATTTGTTTACAACTGCTGTAATTTCTGCATTTTGATTAAACTTAGTTTATTGGTAGTTTTAAAGATATGTTTATATATATATAAAGTGAAGATAATTTTTCTTTGTGTTCATTCCATTGTTTTTGTAATGTTTTATATTTTGTATTATATTTAGATATGGATGCCTTTGTTCGAGCTTTACAGAGCTCAAAAGAGTCTTCTGAAAGCAGTAAAGATAAAAAGGATCAGGATAAAGATGAAGATATGGCTTTAGATTAAGATTTGTGTATTTTATTTATTTGATAATAACTAGTTGTATTATCTATCATTCATGAGGGAATAAAATAAGTTTGAATATCAATTTGGCTTCTTTCTTTAATATGAACAAAAATAGTATGCTGAGCAGTTCAAATTGCACCTCTAATCAATCACTAACTTTTAGATAACCCACTGTTTTAAATCTTTATAAAGCCAGTGACACATAATTATTAATATTTCTGTGCATCGGGTTTGTTGTTTACCTTTTTTATATATTTGCAAATTATATGCAACATATTATGTACATTTTGATATTTCTATTGTTTAACATTGCTCATGTCCATCTTAATCCCTCATACACTTGTCTTTCTTACACATGGGTATAGCTTTAGAGTAACCTAAGATATTGCTTGCTCATCAGGTTTCAGCTATTGTTTGTTCTGCTTCATATTGGCATTAAAAACACTTTTTTTTCATTGTCAGTAATACAGTAAAAAGAAAATCCTTGTTTGTGTCCTTTAGAGACCTTGTTTCAAGTGAGTAGATTGCATAGAATAGTGGAGTACTGGAATTTTGTCGTGAACTATTCGTTTGATCGTTGTTGCACCTGACAAATCTTTCAAAATCTGCAGAATTTGTGAAACTGAATTTTTCTTTCTGAAAATATGAAAATAATTTCTGTGTGGTTATTTCATTTCCACCTTCCATGTACTCAAATGCAGATATCTGGAGCATGTTTACAACCTTATTTAAAACAAAATTTACTTAATTTTGTTTTAAATAAGGTTGTAAACATGCATTTCCAATACTTACTTAGTATTGGAAATGCTGATTTTTCTCTACATGGGGTTTAATTGCATATGCTTGGAAAAATGTAAATCAAATTCTTTAACAGGTGACAAAAGTTACAGAAAGAGAAAATTGGAAGAAATCTCAGTGAATGAATTTAATAATCCTATACTATATTTTCTGTTGAAAGTATTAAATTATACAAAGAAAAGAAAAATTTAACATTTATTTCTAGAGCAGTATATTGAATCTTGAAAAAAAAATTGTAATTTTTCTTGTTTTAAAATATAGCTTGTTTAAAGCTAATGCATGGATTAGAATTTTAGCTTTATATTCATTAGAATTAAAAAGTGAAATTTTGAAGATAATATTGAAAAACAATTAAAATGCAACTAATAATGAAATAAGCATATTTGTAATTTAAGCAGGCTGAAATATATCAGATTAAACTGTAGAGACAATAGGTAATTTTTGGAAGCCGGACAGATGAAAAAGTAGCAATGCCTGTGCCGGGAATCGAACCATGGACCTCTGGAATACCGGCCCAGCGTGCAGAACCACTACACCACGAAGGTGGGAGAAATACCTTATATACTCCCCCCTTTTAAAAGGCGACTGGGGTTTTTAGAGGACCCAATCGCTAAATCCCATCCACAGCCCTTTTTAGTTCGGGGGCCACTGTAGAGATACTAGGTAATTTTTTGAAACCGGACAGATGAAAAAGTAGCAACGCCTTCGCCGGGAATCGGACCACGGACCTTTTGAATACCGGCGCAGCGTGCAAAACCACTACACCAAGAAGGTGGGAGAAATACCTTATAAAACTTTTTTTTTTCCAAGTTTTGCCTTCATCAATTTTTTTTAGTTTGCCCTTCTCACAGATTGCTGTGTTGTTTTCTTAATGCTGCAGATGGTTTACAAATTAAAAGCTGAAATACTCCTTTTCAGAGCAGTTATATACATATGGGTCATGAGGCTAAACTGTTTCAGAATTGCTGGTATAGGATTTAATTTTACTTCATGGAGAGGAAAGTGATTTAGCATCAAGTTTGTTTAGGTTATTTTTAGAAGAATGTTTGTTACTGCTAAGCAGTGGCTCATATATAGTAAATAGCAGGCTTTTGTGTAACTGCTTTTTTGTTAATGTTACAAGCTACATTTTCCCAAGTACAAATAGAAATATTTGCATACATTCATATAAATTAGTTTAATAACTTATGTATTTTTACGTAATTTAAATCGGAAGTAGGTGCCTTTCTTATACCTGTTGTCTACTATATAGGTAGTAATATTTCTTTGCCGCCCACCGGTCCACGGTAAGTTAAAGAAGTGCAACTGCAAAGTAAGTTATTGAGTGGAGGTTTAGTATAAAATAAAAGGTTATTAAATTTGTACTTTGCATAAATTTATAAAAGACAGGAAATTTATTAAACAATAACAAAGTGATATAAATATATGGAAACAGGAGAGTGCTGTACATGGGGTAATGTTCAGCTAGATAACTAAACTTTCATGGGTTTGTGTGTATATACATATATTTATGTACACTTCTATGTATGTGTGAGTGTGTTTTGATATCCCTTCATCTTCATCATCAGACAAAAATGAAATAGTTTACCATCCTGATTTAAAATATCACAAAAAGAACGTATAAGTTAGCAACAAGCATAATTTTGTATAACTTGGAAGGATGAATCAATCATAGCAGTGCCTTGTGTAATGACAATCATACATATCAAAAAGTGTCTTGCATTCTGAACCTTACTGAATTTTATCACACTTTAAATACAAAATTAAACTTGTTTTATTTTAATGTCGAGTAAGTACAAAAAATTGTATTTTCATAACTAAGGGAACTGACTTATTCCAAAAAATTCTATTTGCGTACCTAAAGAAGCTGGCAAATGAACTACCTTTTGAGTGTTATAATAATTTGATTACCTTTGAGTAATATATTATTTCTTCGTATTATATTATGATAGTGCATTACTGTTGCTTAATACTGTAATATTACCTTTGAGTAATATAATAAAGTTCTTTCCAAAGGGAAAATTTAAATGAGATGAACAGAGTAGTTGATCTATTCATTGATAATATAATGTTCTACTTCAGGACCATTCTGAAAAAGAGTGATCATTTTAACCTATATCATCCTTCAAACCTGGTTTCGAAAAACCAAAGAATATGTATGGAAGATGTTAAAAGACAGCTGAGTCCTCCATCTCCAGTGAAAAATTTGAACTAAAAACTGTGAAATTATATACAACTTTTATAATAATTAAATTAGGAAATATATAGCATTTAAACTTTGGTGGTGGATTTTAATATTTGATGAATTTTTTTTTTTTTTATGTTTCGCACTTTTGAACCAGGGCTGAGAATGGGTTAAATTTACTCTCGTTAGTAATGCATGGGAAACAGCATCCTGCAAGCTATTGGAAAACGAATTAAGTTTATTTATACGAGACATCATTATAGTTCAATGATGAAGCAAGGAACACTGATAGTGAAGTTACATGATAACTTGTTTTTTTACAGACTCATGAAAATTCATTCAAATTTGCTAAGCGATTTTTGAGATATCACATTTTTATGTAAACTTAAAATCAGACTTTAACCCAATACTCTTATTTCATAGCATAGATTGTGAGTGATTGCAACAAATTTTCTTCTCTGTGGAAAAAATATTAATGGCAGAAATAAAATCATCGGCTCCTATGAGAAATTTCTGCCTTCTAATTTTTCATCTCATTCAATTCTGCCGTAGTATCTGGACCACTGAAAACGTATTAGCTTAGTATTTTTAAAAAAATTCTTTTTCTCTTATTTTCGGATTTACTCTTTATGCCCCATTTATCTCCTATAACTCAACTTCTTTCACTATAACGCTGAATTTGTTTCTCGTATATATTTTTCTTTTTAGGTTAATAAATGCTTTTTTAAGAATTTTCATTCAAAATGACTAATTTCCTTTGCAGTAATTGAGTTTTTACATCAATAGTGTTGCATTGTAGGGGTTCATAGATTTGAAGTCACTGATGATAACACTTGATGAAGAATCAAAGCACAATTTATTCGCCAATAAGCATTATTACACAGGAGAGTTCCAAAGACATGTTTACATTCATCTAAAGACTACGACAAACACTCTGAAACAATCAGCAACAACTATAACTCAGCTTCTTTCACTATAACGTTGAATTTGTTTCTCTCTCTCTCTCTCTTTTTTTTTTTTTTTTTTTTTCTAGGTTAATAAACGCTTTCTTAAGAAGTTTCGTTTAAAATGACTAATTTTCTTTGCCGCAACTGAATTTCTACATTAATTTTGTTGAGTTGTACAGGTTCGTGGATTTGGAGTAACTGATGATAACACTTGATGAAAAATCGAAATACAATTTATTCGCCAATAAGCACTGTTACACAGGAGTGTTCCAAAGACACGTTTACAGGCATCTAAAAACTATGACAACCCCTCTGAAACAATGAGCAACACAGCCTTCAGGATATAATGGTGAAGATAGCTTCACGGCAAAGTCCTAAAGTACAGCTCCGGATCGGTTGTTTGCTCTCAAGCTAATCTCTGAGTTTAAGGCACTGCTTTCTTCCCATACAGTTTATAAGAAGACCAAACCTGCCCTCGTGACAGCCAGCGTACTTCCGTGTGTTACAGAAGTATCTCATGTTTTGCGTTCATTTCTTGACACAGTGTTTTAAAAAGACGAAGAGCTCTACTTCTAATAAAATTCACAGTTTTAATAACTATTGACAATACTTCTTTTAAGCTGGTTGGAAGAGTTTTTGTAGCCAGTGCATGTCTATGTAAAAAACAATGTGTAACAATAACATTAGGAGCCTCTTTTCTTACCAAATGGGCAAAACCAGATTTATTGCCGAGCATCGCAGGTGCTCCGTCCGTACAAAGTGAATGAATATTTTGTTTCCAGTCGAAGTCGTGTTTGGAAAAGAAAACATTTAAAATCGCTAAAACATCAACTGCCTTTGTAGTTTGCAAAAGAAAGGCTCACAAAATAAGAATTCTTCTTTGATAGTATCAGCAGACACGTAACGAACAAAAACAAGAATTGACTACAATTCGAGATGTCTGTAGTTTCATCCATTCGAGATGGCGTCTAGGGTGGGGCAAGGGGGACATTTCCCGGGCGCAGCATCCAAGGGGCGCCAAATTGATGCTACGAAATTTTTTAATGAAATGTTTTTTATTCTTGGCACACAGAAAGGGGCGCAAATTTTCAGTTGTCCCCGGGCGCTGGAAACTCTAGCTACGCCCCTGATGGCTATGCTTTCAATTCATCGATGATCTGTTTCAAGATATGATCTGTTTTAAGTTTAACTATTCTTGAATGTATCACATCCTTGAACAATGGAATAGCCTCAAGGTTTTTTCCCTGTTCCAGTCCTTAAACTATTTAAACCATTTCCAGCTCACATGGCTTAATTAATGTCTCTCCAATAGTATGCGGTTTCTTACTTTTGGAAATTCGATATGCAACTCTGAAAGATGCCTCAACCAAAGGTTTTTGTGAAATACCAAATCCAAGTTTGGTTAACGTTCCAGATTTCGAAAACTGGGCTTTCTTCTTTGTAAAAAATTCTAGATATTTAGATGCATTTTCAGGATGAAGAGATTTGAGATGCTCTATCAATTTTGCCGGTTTTTATACTGGCGTTTGCGAAAACTTTTCCACATACAGAAAGCATTGTGGCTTTTCAATCTTTCATGCATTCGATTGTGGCTTTCCAAGATTCAAACATTAATGACACACACACACACACATAAAAAAAAAAAAAAAAATCAAACTTGAAAAAAAAATTTTAATTACAATTTATGAAAAAGTAAAACAAACTTGCAAATTTTTAAAACAAATATTTTAATTAAAAAATTTGCAAGAACTTTGCGGAACTGAGTTTAACGTCACTTTATTTCCAAGTGAAGTAAAATTCAAAGGCTACTTTGTGTTTCTAAAAATTTCAATTTTTATATGGTTTGCGAATGTTCTTTTCCTCGTATTGTGAAGGTCTCTATTATTGGGAAATGGCAGACAGACGGCTTACAGAGGTTGCCCGTGACAAAGAAAGTTTTTTTTAAAATATTGATGCAAACATTTTAAAAATTAGGAGCAGTCGGCGGACACCCAAAATATGACCCATGGACCCCGGGGGTCCATGAACCACAGGTTAAGAAACACTGCTCTATCGTATTAAATTTACGCCTTCAAAAAATGTTGTTACTCATAACAGCAAGTAAACCTCTCAACGCAGCTCTTAGGAAATGCGAAAGCGAGTAAACGAAGCCAAGATAGGTGAAAAATTACTATAAAATTTTCTTTGGAAATATGGTAAGTTAATTTTAAATTGTAGAAAAAATAACCTTTCATATTTTACTCTAAATATTGCCTCATATGTGTTTTAATGTTGTTTTGAGCGGAGAAAATTTCTTAGTGTTTGATGAAAATAGATTATCATGAGACTATCTATCTCATGATGTTACCGAATAAATAATGTTAGTCTGATATGCCGAAGTCTGAAATATTTATTTACAAAATATGATGTATTAGTCTTGTTTAGAATTTTATTCTGTTTTTTAAATAAAAGTAAGTTTTTTTTTTTTTTTTCCCCTCTGACTATAGTATTGTACATGAAATGTAATCTGCGCAAATGACATTGTGAGCAGAATATGGAGCGTATAAATATATCGCTTTATGACTAGTCTTTATTTAAAATCCCGCGTTCCGTAATTTGCAGATGCTGAATTAGGAAACATTCGTAGCTGGCATTGTCCTCCAAATAGTGAAATAGATACTAGATTAAATTCGGTGTAAGATGACAGGAAAATGTAAATAAGTTTCAACTTGTTCATTAATCGCATCAGTAATTTGCCTTGTTGTCTTTCCTTTTGTTTAGTAATTAGTTCGCTTGTGTTCAGCTTTTCAGTAAAATGCCAACAAAAGCATGTATTGTTTGCATACTTTTATATTTTAACTACAATTTACAGATTTATAAGGAAAAGTATATTTAAATGTGTGTCATTTACGTTCATGAAAGAATTTGTAACGGTATTAAAGCCTGAGTAATATAAATAGTTTCATGTGCAAGTGTGTGTAATTTTATGTATAAAATTGAGATCGTGCTGTAGTCTGATGCAGTGATATAGGCCTAATTCTACTCTCAAAATATGTTTAATTTTCCATAAAAGAGATCTTCAGATACTTACAGTTCAGGTGAACAGCTTTCAGTATAGGGTTGACATCCAACAAAAGAGAGGTTTTGAATATTATAGAACCATTTCTTTCCCCCCCACCTTTTTTTTTTCTCTATCATAAAATCCCTAAATTTAGTGCCATATGTGAAAGCAGCTGATTTTCATTTTCACCTTTCTAGTTGAAGATATATTGTATTTGTAATGATAAATATAACAATATAAGATCCCCACCCATAAAGTAAAGATTTCTGATATTAGGTGTTGTCATATAGTCCAAAGCTAATGTACAAATATACAAATGATCATTATATAACATCCACCAGTCATCAAATAGAAAAATCTGTTGAACACTGGCTTTTTTTTTATATCAGTGTGGCTCCCAGTAAGCTAAGTGATTTAGCTGCATAGGCCATGTTTTCCTCCATGTATAACATTAATACATGCCACTTTAAGAAAGACCTTCAAGAATGCATTTATCCTAAGGCAGATAGCTCTTACATTTTGGGTAAAAGTATATTTATGGGTACCGTTTGGCGATTTTTGGCGGCACATGGATACCGACTTTGTGCGATTCTTTGACTAGGCATTGTGCACCCCCTTGACTTTATCCACGTACACGTCCACCTATTTTTACATAAAAAAACATCAGAATTGCATAAACTTAACATTGCATACTCCTCAACTTTGTCCCTGTACATATCGATATATTTTCACTTAAAAAGTCAAAAAAAGCACCCAATTCTAGATAAAAGAATATTTACGTATCATTCAACTACTCGGGTTACCATAACCGAAACAACAACTTCCTGATAATACAAGGGGCGGTTAATCTTTGGATTATGGTAACTTTGCGATTTTTTGGCAAAAATTTGGTGACCAACCGTGCTACAGCAACCTGCTGGTTTTTGTTTGGATGCCATTTTGTTTTCACGAAGTAGAGGCATTTTTTTTTTTACTTAACATTTTTGGTTAATCTTTGGATTATGGTAACTTGGCGATTTTTTGCGAAAATTTGGAACCAACCCTGCTACAGCAACCTGCTAGTTTTTGTTTGGACGCCATTTTGTTTTCACAAAGTAAAGGTTTTTTTTTTTTTTTTTTTTTTTTCCTTTTTAACTCAAGATTTTTTCTCAAAAATCTGCTAGCTGAATTACGCTTATGCTAGAACTTTTATGGAGCAAAAGTGCTTAATCATGACGAAGATTAGGTGCAAAATTGGGAGAAAGTGCAGAATCGCCCACCCACTGCTTGCCACGTTTTTAAGAATTGCACATACACGGTATTATCATCCATGTACACGTCAACCTATTTTCACTTAAAAAAACATCCCAGAATTGCATGAAAATGGCATTGCGCTCACTCTTGACTTTATCCATGTACATTGCTAAAGTCCTAGCTAGTAACCTATATCCCCTTACTAAAATGTTGCCAAACTACCTGTTACCATATTCCAAAGATTAGCCACATTTTTTTCCAACAATCTGCTAGCCGAATTACGCTTATGCTAGAACTTTTATGGAACAAAAGTGCTTAATCATGACGAGGATTAGATGCGAAATTGGGAGAAAATGCAGAATCGCAAACTGCTTGCACGCGTTTTTAAGAATTGCACATACACGGTATCATCCATGTACACGTCGACCTATTTTCACTTTATAAAAATCCCAGAATTACACAAAAATGGCATTGGGGTTTACATCCGCAGAGAACCCGTTGGGGCCGTTGCATTTTTACTCGCCCAGCTCGCGGCGCATCGAGGCTGTAAGCGTGATATTTTGTAAACGTGGTTTTTAGTGATGTAAATTCAAGTTAGCAGAAAATGGTAGTAAAAATTCACAGATAATAAGTATGTAAATGTAAAACTAACAGGTTAAACGTAATATACGAAAATAAATTTGGATTAAATTCAAGTTAGCACAGAAAACAATGCATTAAACATAAACGGGAAGTAAAAAGTCATTTAAAAAATAACAATTAGTATTCTTATACTTACCTTTCCATTATACTTATATGTATTTTCTCGTAATTCATATAGAATACTAATATTTCTATTACAAGTGTCTTTTTTCATTATTAAGTACTTTGCCTGTTGATTGATGTATTTCGGTAAGAGCCATGCCCATGTAATAAATTAATGATTGCATGACCTTTAATACATACATTTTACATAGTTTTCAGTATTTTTTTTTTCCAAGTTACTTGCATACAGCTTAAAGCATTTTACGTTGAAACAAATACCTATCCTTTTTCATAATATTATTTCACAATATAAATAAACAGTAATCAAATTTTCTTCAGTAGCATTGTTAATAAAACTAGAACTTTATACATTTTAAAATTATTATAGGGGTTGGAAAAAGCATGGTTCTGCGTGCTTACAGCTGTTAATAATTAAGAACAAAACTTGAACAGCCATGTTACAAATTAGCATTCACCCCTCCCGCCATATTTTCTTCCTTTGATCCCGAACTGACGACCCGAGAACCGGCATCTTTCGACAAAAACTTCTTAATTTATGCGAAAATATTTCTATCTATTCATTGTTAAAAAATTCAGGAAAAATAATAATCAATAAGAGAAGAGTAATATAAATCTTCAAATGCGAACAACGACGACCTTCGCATAAGCGAATAAGATGAATTAGCTAGGTTACCAGGACGCCTATTCTATGGTCACTGGATCTGTCTACAACTTAAGCGAACAATATTGACTCAAAAAACCGGTATAGACAGCCGTCACAACTTATCGAGAAAGCCATTCTGTGGTCCTCAGTTGGTGGGCGGGTGGGTCCATTTGACTTTACTGAAAGGGGACAAGGCTTCAAGGAGCTTTAGACCAATCGCAGTACAAACGAGTGACGAAATTTATAGTGCGCGCTGGCTGAAGTTCTAGGAATATTCTCCCATTATTTCACTAACTCACACGCTGTATTTGTAATTCGAAAAAAATTGCACAAAACAGTATTATGACCAACATGCAGCAGAATATGCTGCTGTCTTATGTGAAGGAAAATCCCGTTTTTTAAGGGGGAAGTTAACGCAGGAATTTAGAGCTAAGAAATAAGAGTGATATGGGATACCACGAAAGCAATGGTAAATAGATAAGAGTAGATGAATTAAGCTTACTTCAAATCCTTTTAGAAATAAACAATTTTAATCATTTAAATTTATAATATGATTAATTTGCATTACAGTCTAATAGCAAACTAAGTTCCCCCCCCCTCCCCATGCTTACATTTAAAAACTGTTTTTTCCCGCAATTTATTTTACAGTTACTATTGGAAAAATATCTCTTTAAATAAGAAAATTACTTCTTTCTTAATATTTCTTCCCTTTTTTTTTATTTTATTTTCTATGAAAATTATTTCTTTCAGGAAAAGAAATAAAATTCATTCACTATGGCCGATTGCTGCTGCATTCAACTATCACACACGCATCAAAATGCTTTATTTTAAATAATTTATTCTATAATTAACATGAAAGAAAATATTTTTTCAATATAAAATATATAACCAAAATTAAACTAATCTATCCTGTATGTGTGATTAATTCGTTTTGCAATTTTTGTCACACAATTACTAATACCTTTTTTTTAATATTACATTGCTGTTATTTTAATTTTATATATATATATAAGAACTGCTTGCTCAGTTTAAATATTCTTCCTTCTCAAAAGATTTTATTCTGTGAAAATAATTAAAAGATAGTAATATTTTCACAATGCAGGTACTAAAGTAAAAATAATCAGTGTAGGTCTCCTGCAGTTGAAGTCCTTGTCAAACCAGCGTTTCGACACATTTTAAATAGAAAACTAATAATAATCAATGTAAAAATGAGAATGCTATGAACAGTAATTTTTTTTTTTTTTTTTTTTTTTTTTTTTTTTTTTAAGTTTGCAAAGAAACAATGATTTTTGAATACTATAATAGGTTACAAAAGTACTATTCCATGAAGAAAACCCCTCAGTCTTATAGCATTATTACTTTATAGCATAATGCAATAATAATTTCTACTAAAAGCCCACCAGCCGCCGAGCGTAGAGTCGCTGAAACACAGGTAGTTTGATCCGAGTTTCGAATCCCGCGAACGAGCTGGCCGGCGTTTTCGTGGCTTTTCCCCCATGTGTAACATGTATAGGAGCCAGTTTCCCTTAGAAAGTCCTCACTTAGGACCAGTTTTAACATAATAAAATTTATACACACACATACACACACCCCAAAGAAAAAAAAAAAAAAAAATCTGAAAGTCTTCAGATTTTATATTAAGGTCCATTTTTTTAACTTTTTGCGTGTAAACCTTTATTTATTAAATATCATGTTTTTCGCACTTAAACCATAAAGTTCAATTCAAACAGCAATATCATATAATTTAAAAAAAAAGCATATCTTTAGAATTTCCAATACTAGTCTCGCGCGCTAGAGATGAAAATGCTTTTTTTTCCTTTTTTTTTTTTTTTTTTTTCCCTCGTACAATGTTGGCATTGCTCGCTTTGAAATCGTTGGGTTTCTTAATCAAAAACTCATAAATGCTTTAAAATATGAAAATAGATAATAAAACAAATTCCAGTTCCAAATATGGGCCTCCAGATGCCTACATTAGGATGGAGGATTATGTTATTCAGCATTTCATGGCTCTAGGTACCGTTGTTTTATCACAGTGCGAGAAACATTCATACATTCTGCAGATTCCTCATTATTTAATTTCTTTAAATATAATAGAGTGTGATAATACTTGATGGCAACGATTTGAAAAGTGAAGCGCCACAAAATGGCAAAACGAAATTAATAGGCCCTCTGTGCTAAAACGTATTATTTAAAAGTATCACACTAGTAGTAGTACAGCTACTGAAAAAATATTTTAAAGCTATTTTATAGTTTTATAATTTTTTTATTCTTATTTTTATTTTACAGTAGTGTGAATTTCGCGTAATGAACGACATTCCTTTTTGTGGTCACAGTATTATTCGTAAGGTATTCAACTGTTAGATTTTAAAGTAAACGTAATTCTTGCTGTACAAGAAGGTTTGTGTGCTTGATAAACTTATTATCTTCTACATTTTTAAAGCATACAATTACAATTTATATCTATAATTTCAGGAACAGCATAACCTTTCTTTCAGTAGAAATTGCGTTCTTGTTTTCTGAATGTGACTGCAAATACTTTCTCAGTTCATCGCAAATTAAAATAACTATAAATTTTGACAATCTGAAATACGCAATGAAAACATCTTTTGGCAGAGCAAAAGCATCAACATATTTTCTATAAATTCGCCACCGATTCAGAGATCTACGACCGTATTCTTCGTTTAAATATGAAAAATCAGCGGCGAAGAAACACATACAAAGCCATTGTCTACTTAGTACGTCAACTGCACAACCCTGATTGACGATGCGGCAACACTTTTTCACGCGCTTTCGACAACTTCCGTACTCAGAGAATATAGGATGTCGGGCAGACCTGTTTTTTACTAGCAGCGACATCTGGCGGCCCACAACTTGCTGTCGACTCTCGTAGCGTAGAATAACCGTCCAGGTTTGAACTATTATTGCCAAAGTTGGCGATGTTTACATTTACCGGGTACTCTGCGGAAGTGCTTCCTGGCATTGTGCACACTCTTGTTTTTATCCATGTGCACTGCTAAAGTCCTAGCTAGTAACCTTTATCGCCTTACCAAAATGTCGCCAAACTACCTGTTACCGTATTCCAAAGATTAGCCCAAGGGGTATACTTCAGTGTACTCTAACCACATTTTCTTTGTGTCAGAGTCATTTACTAATAAATGAACTATTTCTTTGAATCGATTTCTTGAATTTAAAAGCTTTTATAGTCAAAACAAAATGAAAATTTTCTCATTCTCTGAAAATTCCATTATTCAAAAAATCATTTAGCTGATTAGTATTTCTTGCTCTTGATCCTGTTGTTCTTTCTAATACATTAATATACACTCAAGAGCCAAAACATTATGACCAGCCCTACATTTTGCGACAAACGCGCTTGGATGACGTGGTAGGCACGTGATCAGGTGGAAGTGGTATTTAACTGTTGCTGAAGAGTCTGAAGGATCATTTTTTCACTTACTCTGTGTGTGATGGGAAAGGCTGCGGATCTAAGCGACTTTGATAGAAGGCAGATTGTAATGGCTCGAAGGCTCAGAACAAGTATTTCTGAAAATGCACGACTTGTGAGTTGTTCGCGATCTACAGTTGTTAGTACGTATGAAAAGTGGATGAATGATGGTGAAACCAGCAGAAGACGGCATGGTGTTGGACGTCCACATGCTATCAAAGAAAAAGGTCATCGAAGACTGCCTCGCAAGGTGAAGCAAAACCGGAGCCAGACAGTGGCTCAGCTGACAGCCGAATACAATGCAGGGCCAAGTAGAAAAGTATCAACATACTGTTCAGAGGACACTGTTGGATATGGGGCTACGCAGCAAACGTCCAACTCGTGTGCCTTTGCTGACCAAGCGTCATCTCCAACTGCACCTGGGAACATTGCGACTGGTCCATGGATCAGTGGGCGAAAGTTGCCTGGTCAGATGGATCACGGTTTGTCATTCGTCATGCCGATGGCCGTGTCAGGATACGCCGTCTTCCAGGCAAACAGTTGCACCCTCAGTGCGCAGTAGGTCATACACAGGCCTGTGTATGACCTTTCATCCCGAACCGAGAACCGGCATCTATCATCTATTCGTTGTTAAAAAATTCAGAAAAAATAATAATAAATAAGAGAATAATATAAATCTGCAAATGCAAACAACGACAGTGATAATTCAACAAAATGAACGCAACAGGAATGGTTGCAAACTTCGAACAAGCGAATAGAATAAATCCGCTGGGTTACCAGGTTTGAACTATTATCGTCAAAGTTGGTGATGTTTACATTTACCGAGTTCTCTGCAGAAGTGCTTCCGGTAAAAGTTTACAATTGGGTGCCTCTCTTTTTTTTATCGATTCGTTATTGATGCCAAGAAAGCACAATTTCAAGACGGCCACTACACAAAACCAAAATAAGAAGTCAAAGAATGCATAAACTCTGTATCCATTTACACATCAATATATTTTCACTTAGAAAACATCAGAGATTTGCACAAACTAGGCATTGTGCATTGCCTTAACTTTGTCCATGTGCACATTAATATATATTCATTTAAAAAAGATCAGGGCGTTTACAATTTTGTAAGTTAACCTGTACTAAAGCCAGATGTGGTAGTCTCTTTATTATGGAGGCACCTAATAGGTGGGCCACCATGAAGCCTCCTATGAAGAGACAGATAGTTACAACCATGCCTTCTCCGGGATTCGAACCCAGGCCCTTTGGTATCGCAGTTAGGCTCCCCTAACCACTGTACCGTTTGGACAGCATGTTATTAAAAACACAAAATAAGGAAACACTTCTGCAGAGAACCCAATAAATATTAACACCACCAAAAATGGTGATAATAGTTTAAACGTGATAACCCAACATATGTGCTTATTTGGAGGTTTTTGAACATTTGGAGGTTACTACATCTTTTACAAAAACTTCTTAACATTCTTTTTACAAACTCATTTGAAAGTGGTTCAATATTTTTTATCAATTGGAAATAAAATGGAATAACTTGTCTTTTTAATATTAGATGCTTTTTGTAATGCTGAACTAAACATACTTGGTTGAGCATTTAGTTGTGATTTAAATTCTCTCAAGTTTGATTCTTTTATTTCTTTCTCCAATATCATGTAATTACTGTGTTTTGTAATGTTTTTTCACATTGCATTCTTTAAATGCAGTGACAGTTTCTTGGCAAATACATGAATTTATAATTTTGAATAATAAAACAGAATTTTCTCACTGTTCGCTATAGTCAGTTCTCATCAACAGTTTCTTTTCTTTGCACTCGGAAATTCAAGGAGTTAATCTGTCTGAACCCATGCACATCAAGGCTGAGTATGTTAAATGTGATTGTCATACGATTGCTTCAGCCTTGTTATTATTGCTTTTTTGACCAATCAGAAGCTCCTGCGTCAGCTTCGATGTGCTTCTGTTGACGGCTACCATGACCACACATGCAATTTTTACTCAGAAGTGTCAGAATAGATTTCTTGATTTTTGCTGTGTTAACAGAAAGTATCAAATTATAAATTTTGTTGATTTCCCAGCGGGACAAATATTTTAAAATGTGGGCCACTTATACCCTGTGAACCTCATGTTGGTGATCTGTGTATTGCTCTTATTCAGGATTTCCATTGGTGAATATCTTTTGAACTTTTCGTCCTCAAAAAAGGTCTTCATGGAATATATATATTTTTTAAATTTTTATTTCTGTACATGTTAAGTAAATGAAATAAAACCGTTTTAAATACTTTCTATAATGGGGATGAATGAAGTTCTCTTCTGGTTGTGTATTGTTTTGACTGAGCTAATTTTTAATTCATCATGCAGTTTTCTTATAAGTTTTGAAGCAGAGTTTTTTAGAAAAGCTTTGCACCCATACAAAAAAAGGAAGCTACACAAACCTTTCATTTTACCTTTTTGGCCAGATAGAGTGTCACTACAGTTTGCAGGTGAGAATAGTATGGGTAATATGTAACCATAAGTTTTCATAGATAAGTTGTAAAAAAATTAATTCTTTAGTAATGTGCTAAAATCTAATAAACATGTTTCATTTCAAGGCAAAAGTTAAGGCTCGCGAACTGCGGGGGAAAAGGAAAGATGAGGTATTAAAGCAGCTAGAGGAGCTGAAACAGGAATTGGCTGCATTGCGAGTGGCAAAAGTCACAGGTGGAGCTGCATCAAAGTTATCCAAGATGTAAGTTTATATTTTTCTCTTTTTATTAAGTTTTGTTGGTAAGAGATATACGGAATGATTTTTTTAAAAAATAGGGTATCTTAATTTTGATCTATGTTTTAAATCTTACATTTGTGAGGCTATTTTTAAAATTTGTTTTATGGGCATTTTTTTAATTTTTAAATATAAAAAAATGCAGTCTGATACGGAATTGTCACTGTTTTATAAATTAAAATATTTAATTTGTATGCCCTTTCTTGTTTTTATGTATAAGAAAAAAATTGACTATTTAAAAATTTTTGTACTTTTAAAATTTTAAATAAATGACCATTTTCCTGAAAATTTTGTGAATAAGCTTTAATTTGAGTAATTACAAAATTTTGATCATTTTTAGAAGCATTTTTATTCATTAGCTTGATTGATTTACCAAAAAGATGAAATACCTGAACTTTGGCACATAATTTTCTGCAGTTGAAAAATTAGAAAACTAAAGTAGATGAGTTTATGAATTGTAATATTCATTTTATTTACTTCCTTTAGTCATCAGATTCCTTTCTGGTCTTGTAAAGTTCTGGTTGAAAGTTGAAATAGTATACATTTCAGTACAGTAGTATGCATGATTTTAGCCCTAACTTTTATTGGTTTCGCATAGCTGCTAACTCTTCTAGTTCTTCAACATATCTCCTGGTAGGTTGTTGAATCCTTTTTAAGTTTTTACCCTTTACTAGTGACTGTTTTTCACCAATAAAATCAGCACACTTTGAGTTAATTATTGAAGTAATGAAGCTTTATAATTGTTCAAATTTTATTTCTCCCTAGTAATCATCAACTTAATTTTTCTTATTAAATTTTATTTGGTCTAAATTGTCTTAATCTACTATGGACATTTATAGTATTTTATATGAAGATTCAAGCAATGTTTAATCAGCAGATATGTGTATATAATTTGGTTTTAATCAATATGTCAAATCGTCAAGACATTCTTTCAATTACATCGTGAAGGAACATGATAAGGGAGGATAATGTATTTTACAAATATATGTACATTACTAAGCTTCCACATAGTAGTGTGTACACTGAAAAAAAAATGATAGTTCTACATTTCCCGCTTTACAGCGCCGATTGACGAAATTTAACTTGTGTTTTTCATATCTCGAAAGCACAACTTATGTGCAATAGATTTATACAGGGTGTGGCAGCGTTCATACCGTAATTTCACTTGTGTAGCACAATGACGTACTGCATGAATGCGTGGCAGCTCATGTCGCATTCGTGTACTAATGAGCTGCCATTTCAAGTGTGACAGTGATATGGATCGTAGGAGTGCACAGCATCGTGCCTTTGTTGAAAGTTATTTCAAGAATAACTACTCTGTTATTGCAACCCAGCGTCTATTTGGGCAACATTTCTTCTTGGGACGTTACGGAAAAGTTCCAGATGGACAGACCATTGCAACAGACATTTCCAGGTAGAGTAATTCCCGTTTTGGTGACATTTCCTAGCCGCCTCGCTCATCTAATCTTTCATGTGCCAACTTTGGGGGCACCTAAAGCAAGAACTTTTCCAAACACGTTGTGCCACCATTCCTGAATTGAAGGATCGCATCCGAACTGCCGTCGGCTATGTCCCAAGGAATACGTTATGCTGAGTTATGGCAAGCTTCCAACGTCACCTAGATGAATGTGTTGTGCAGAGGGGCATCATATTCAAAAAGTAATCCACGCAATGGACAATGACTTGCACATTAGTAAATGGCATGTTTAACTATTAATTGACATAAGATGTAATAAATAGACAGTTACTGCCTTATGGTGTGCTTTTAAGATCCTACTATTATATAGCTGTATTTTGACACAAAATCTGACTTTTTCTGAAATGAATGCTTTTTTTTTTTTTTTTCTGTATTTTGTCTATGACTGAAATGGTGCCAAACTGCCTAGTTGTAAAAATTGAATGAGTAGTTTTTTAAGGAAAAAGCTCTCAAAATTTTAGCTCCTCAGTGTTAATTGCATTTGCTATATATTTATTAATGTCTTTTTTTTTATTAAAACTTGCTTGATTCCTTCTTACAGAATCCAAAATTTAGGTTCATTCCAAGTGAAATTCGGCCATTTTTTTACGATTTATTTAAAAATATTTATAAATTTTTTGAAAAACATTTGAATTATAACCTATAAAACTTTTACCATCATCTAAAATAGATGTATTTCTAAGCATACCTGCAAAAAATTAGAATTTTTATTCAAATTTTTGATGTACGAATTTATTATGTATTGTGCTTTGAATTTAGTATATTTGTTAAAAGTGATAATAATCCAAATGTTGTTTACACACTTTTTGTTAAAATTATTTGAAATAATGAACAATGACTTTTTCTGCTCGTGTGCTATGAAAAGAGGAAAGTTGTAGTGCTTGTCTAACTGTAGAATTGGGTGTTCCTTCCGCGAAAAATTTTGTTCAATTTTGGCAATGAAACCCCGTCTCTGGTTACCATGACAATTTTAACTTGGTTACAGCTTTCTAATTTGTAAGTAGCAATAGATCGATGTGTACATGGACAAAGTCAAGGCAGTGCGGACAACCTAGTTTGTGCAATTCTCTGTTTTTTAGATAAATAAAATAGATCGATGTGTACATGGATACTGTGTGCAATTCTTTGATTTTTTTTTTTAATTTTATGTAGTGGCCATCTTGAAATTGTACCTTTCTGGTGTTGATTTTGGTGTCAAAAAAGAATCTCCAAATAAACAAGAGGTACCAAATTGTGAACTTTTACAGGAAAGGAAAATAGGTTGCTATAAATTAAGAAATAATTATTCTTGGCCCAAACTGAAAAAAAATGTTTCAAAATATATTTTTTAACTTTGGTAAATTTCGCACCAAATTTTACAAAATTTATTATTTAGGCATAATTTGAGTTGTAGATTTGAAATATAGAAACAAATTGGCATATGTCATTTCAGAAAAGGTCTGATTTTTTGTCAAAATACCTATATTAGAGCAATGCTATATATAAATTTAATATATATCCTAAGTCGTGCTTTCGAGACTGGAAAAATGCAAGTTGAATTTCATCAATTGGGCAAGTAGAATGGGAGATGTAGAAACCGTCTCTCTCTTTTTGTGTGTGCAGTGTACATTAATTATTAATTTTACTTTTTACTATGCTTAAAAGTTGATTTAAGTAAAGCTTTCCTAGATGCTGTTCGAAATTTTCTCACCATAGAAATTTGCAGTATAAAAAACATAAATCTTGGAATATGTAACTAAATATTAATCAGTTCTGCATCAGAATCGTCATAAATAGTTGAATAATCTGAATTGTGTTATAATACAAATTTAAAATGTGAAATCCTCCCAGAAACTCCTGGTTTTTTCATAATTTCAAGGTTTTTCAGCTATTGTGTATTGTTAAAAATTAAGTCATAAAATTTCATAGAAATTTATTTAACTCTTAATATGTTTATCATTTTTATCACAAATTTATTTACACTTGATAGCAGGTTTTTTTTTTTTTTTTTTTTTTTTATATTTGATGCATTCATCAAGTGATGATTATACAAATTAATGGTTCAACTATAAAATAGTACATTTTTTAATCCAAATTTGATTATTAGAATAATAAAAATGTAACTTTAATTAGGAATTTAATTACAAAGTTTTTTTTAATTAAATTTTATTTTTTATGATGTGTTCTTTATTTCGGTGTATATTAAATATTAGAATAATTAAAAAAAATTAAGAAATGTTCCAGGTATAAGGAATTTTAGAATTATCCCAAAATCTGAGTTTTACATCATAAGTAACATGTGACAGTACTTAACTGTCTGATAGCAAAATGCAGTTGTGACAATATTTTTAGTAATGTTAGCAATTGTACTTTTTAATAGCATGTAAGATATTTTAAATAAACGGTATTTATAATTAAAAGCTAACACATATTTTTATCTTTGGTATTTGTTGCTGATAGTTATTGGCAGTTTGAAAAATATGCTAAAGAGTATTGCAGTTATATTTCATTTATACATTAATAAAGTCAAGTTGTCTTAAATTTAGTGTGTAAAATGTAAATTATGTGCAGAAAATATTATAGGAAGTTATGGTCTCGGATGATGCTACAATACTTTCGTTCTCCTGATTTTCATTTGATGATTTATTTTACTGATGAGATCATGCTGACTTCCTTAAGGTGAATTTAACTCGCTCTGATTTAACTATTTAACAATTATGACATTTTGCTTGTCTGACTTTGTGGGAAAAAATGAACTAGTATGGTTTCAGAATGATGTTATACTTTCGTTCTCCTGATTTTCATTTTGATGATTTATTTTACTGATGAAATTATGCTTGACTTCCTTAAGATAAATTTAACTCACACTGATTTAATTTTATTTAACAATTATGACATTTTGCTTGCTTGGCTTTGTGAAAAAAATGAACTAGTATGGTTTCAGAATGATGTTATAATACTTTCGTTCTCCTGATGTTTCATTTGATGATATATTTTACTGATGAGATCATGCTGACTTAAGATAAATTTAAGTCATACTAATTTACTTTATTTAACAGGTATGACTTTTTGCTTGCCTGGCTCTGTGAAAAAAAATGAACTAGTATGGTTTCAGAATGATGTTATACTTTCGTTCTCCTGATTTTTTATTTGATGATTTATTTTTCTGATGAGATCATGCTGACTTAATTGGTACTATTCCGTTTTGAAGACCGTAAAAAAAATTGCAGCGAAAATGTATGCGCAAAAGCGCCAAATCTAGAAAAACGCGCCCATTTAAACAGCGCGCCAAATCTAGCGTCCATACTGATTTCAGATTGTGCAAGTTTATATAGTTCTATATTTCTTAAGACACCATTGAAATACTACTTTAATTTTTAAATCCTTTTTTGATATCCTATGGATTTAACAATTTGGGAATTGCCCATGTCGAAAAGTCTGCAATAAAATTTTGGCTAAAGTGCAAAATCACCCACTTCTTGACGTGCTTTTAAGAATTGCACATACTCGG